TCTCGGACGGCGAGGCGTTGGTGCGGAGCAGGGACCTGAGGAACATGGGAAGCATTGCGTACCACTCTCGGTCGTAGAAGCTCTCGGGGAGGCCAACTACAGGGTTTCGAGTAGACATTTTCCTTGTCTCCGAAGGGTCTCTGATACGCTGCGCTCGCACCTGCCCCTGCCTCTTGAACGAGGGCAATTTCGCATGCATGGACTCCAGGATCTGCAGCTCCTGTTCGATATTGCGTCGCCACGGAACAGACATCACCTTGAACACCTTGGGTTGCGCCGGATCCTCCTCGTCCTCGCTGCCGCTGTCCTTGGAGCTCATGCCTCCTGCGCCAAACATCTCTATCATGCGCTGGAGGAACCGCCAACTGTCTGCATCTGCATCGTCCTTGCGATACTCGAGGATTTCGCTTGCGGCGGCCAGTCTGGTTTGATATTTCTATTGCAACTGTTAGCGGTTGTACCTGCAAGCTGTAAAGTGCACTCTCATACATAGGTGCGCGCGTCTGTGTGCCTCCGCATCCTCATCAGGTTGTCCTCCCTGGTGGCAAGACGGGCTAGGATTTCTTCCATCGTCTCTTCCTTCCCGGTCTTCGGATTATGGTGAGGACGACGTTGCCGCCATTTCTTCTGCATCGTTGAAAGGCGCGACCATATAATGTCTTCCCAGTACGCTTCGCTCCGGATATCTTCTGTGTACTTGCCGTTCTCCTGGAAGTATTTTCGCGCATTTTCTACCATCAACTGGAGCCAACGCTTGTTCCACAATGTGTTCATCGTAGATAGATCTGGGATCATGTTCTCCAGCATGGGTCCACCATCCTCACCGCTGCTCTCCTCAAACTGACGCCTCTGCTCTGCCGATATGTTCGTGACACCGAAGAGGTCAAAATCTGTCTTGATGCCGAGTCTATCACGGACCACCAGAAGGACATATTTCTGCTCCGATGAGATATTGTATCCAGAGGTTAGACGTGTAACTAAAACGAACTCACCGCATGGCGAGCCCTGCCCTCGCGAGACACCAACTGTTTCTCTTGTCGCAATTTCTCTTTTGCTGGGGTCATAGGCCATGACTTCGTCTCGCTCTCGGTGTCAGCATCAATCGCATCGTCGTCGTCCATGAGTTGGGCTTGGTGGGCAGAATCCATCAATGATGATGCTTGAGGCAGTGAGGGGCCCCAATCGACTTGCTTGCCCTTCTCTTGCGATTTTGGCGTAGGCTAATGTATGTTGTCACATTTGATAGCGCGATGGACGAACTGGATTAGACATACTGGAACAAAAGCTACAGGCACACGCAACAGTCGGGTTTGCTCAGTGATTCAACTTGGTCTTAACAGCAGCTGTGTGCGCATAGCACGAACATCGTCCGGGGTGATCTCCCTCTGTGGGGTCCTCGGCGGAGTCGTTGGCGCAGAAGGCTCCAACCCTGTGGCAGGCGACGTGGGCTGCACGTTGCCAGGTGATGCACTAGGATCTTGCATCATGCTGGGCGGTGCACCCGTGGCGACTGGAGCTTGCATTGTGGGGACTGGAGCTTGCACAGACGCACTAGTCCTAGGGTCTTGGATTGTGCTGACGGCACGTCCGTGGGGACTGGAACTCGCGCAGATGCTGCGGGAGTTGTGGTCGCCGAGGATTGATGTGTCGCCTTCCCTGGGGCAGTCTCCCCTTCACCAGCTGATTTGTTTGGGGGCACTGGAGGGTTCGAGGATGGCTCCGCCAGCGCCAAGGTCCCAGAAGGTGGAGAGGTGATTGAAGAATCTCTTGGTAGTGCTTTAGCCCTTGATCTGATCAACGATAAATCCGGACTTGATAGGTTTTTCATCATATCAGCGACGAGTCCCTGAACCGGGCGATTAGTACCATGGCACCACCCCCAGAAGTAGGTGCACGTCGTACCACAACCCTCTCAAGCACTCCGGCAATGGGCAGGTCGCTCAACGTCTTTGGCGTCTTTGGCGAAGGCTTTCGCACGCCATCCGTTATTTCGAGGACAGGAGCCGACTCGTCGTCGATCGCCGGCGGGGGGGGGGGATGGGCTTCTACCAACCAACACCTCTTTCGTCTCTTGCGCTACATCATAGACTTGTTCCATCATATCCAGGACCTCCTGGCGCTCCACGTATAGCTGTTCCGTGCGATCTCTGTTGGACAATTCATGTTTCAGTTCCGTCACCGCCTCTTTTGCATGATCTCGAGACTGCATCACGTCCAGTGAATGAGATACCATCTATTTTACTTAGCAAGTTATTAAGACGGACCTTCCTGGTGTTTATGACCACTATCTTGGCGTCATTCAGCTTTTGCAAATACGTATCACGCTCCCTCGTTTTCTCCTCAGCGATAGCGGTGAGATCCTGCACCTTCTTCGGGCATGGTTTAAATCCATGCGACAGACGTAGCACTTTCAACGGACGCACCGCGGTCAATTCACCATTTTCACGGGCAAGTTCCTGCACCCTACGAGCATCATTCAAAAGCTGTTCTGTGTTCTCGACCATGGATCGCAGCTGAGCATTGATTTCCGCTAACGAAATCATGTCGGTACCGCTTTCTTGCAGCATATGAACGTCCTCAGGCTTGATTGGCGCGATTCCTAGAGTCGGGAGAAGCTCAGACTATCCACCCGGTTAGTTGAATGTCTCCAAGGGTACGAAACACATACCATGTCCATCCTGCAGCTGTTTCCAAGTAATCTTTCCACATCTTCTGCATCGCGCTGAGTGACAACGCTTGCCGCACGCGATGTGGCTAAGTTGTCTTGCAGACCCTGGACCTCGGTTTGGTGATCAATGACCACTTCCATCATCGCTCTCTCATGTGCGGCATTCATTGCCTCGACATCCGCAGCATAGCTTTCCCTCAACGTCTGGATCTCCATCTCCAGCTGCTTGCACCTTCGCTCTGCCACCTGCGCGCGCTGCCTCAAGTCTTCAAGGGACTCCTTGTGCTCATGTTCCACCTGCTCCAGCCGCAACCGATATTCGATCTCCATGTTGGAGAGCTCCTGCTTATGTAGCTCGGCAAGCGCAGAAACGCGGTTCTGTTCTTCTTCCTTGATTTGTGATTGGAGTTGAGCTGACAACGCGTTGTACTCCGCTGCTCAGCCAACTTCAACTTGACGCTAACAATGGGGAATGCTGCAGAACGTACCAGAGAGCTTCGCAAGACTGGCTGCTTGCTCGTCACACCGCACCTGCGCGGTTGCCCGCGCTTGCCTTTCTTCTGCCAGCTCTCGACTCTGTCGACTATTTATCTCTGAAGACGTTATCAGATCCTGGCGGGCTTGTGATGTACATCAGAAACCTACCCCTGAGCGCATGATACTTGTTCTCCGTCGCTTCTTTCCCATGGCGAAGCTCTGCAATAACGCGCTCCCGGTCCGCTAGGACTAATTCTAGCAGCACCGTATTGTCCGAGTACTCCGTCTGCAGTTCGGCGTCCGACATCTCGCAACGGTCGACAACTTGTTGCGTTTTGATTAGTACCGTATCGTTCAAGTATTCCGTCTGCAGCTCAGTGTTGGACATCTCGCGATGGACAACTTTTTGCGTTTCAATCAGACGGCTCTCCATTGCAGACAACTGCTCTTTCACAGCCTGGAGTTCTTGGTCGGACGCCAACAGCTGACCAACCACAGACTCGTGGTTTTTCTTTGTTACGGCGACTTCCTCGATGGCCGCGTTCCGTTGCTTCTCAGCCTCTGATAATTGCTCGTGCAGCCGTACACAGTCCTGCAACAGGGGATCAAGAACAATCCTTGTGGCTTGAAAGTCTTGGCTTACCCGGTTCAGTGACTCGGCAGCCCTGCGCAATTTTTTCATCTCCACCGAGGCATCCGCTAGCCGGCTCTCCAAGGTTGCAATGTCCTGTACAGTGCATCGGCAACTAACTTGGTCGAGGGAAGCAAGGAACGTGCTCACCTTTCGCGCTTTGGCCAAGTGACCGTGCTCTTCAGATGTTTCCACCTTGCTCTCCTGGGCACTGCGAGCCTGCTCATCACGATCTTCCTGAAGACGTGTGTACTCGTCATGTAGTTGAGAGAGGTCATGCTGCAGGGCGTTGAAGTGCTTGTATCACCATTCTACAATGTCGACTTACCTGTAGCTGGGCGCAGGTTGTTTGTAAATCGACACCTCGTTGTGTTTCCTGTTCGTACTTTGCGCTGACCTCCTGCAACGCCACTGTTGCTGTCTCATGTGCTTCTGCATGACGCTCCGCAGCAGATACCGCGTCTGCCACCACCTGGATATATATCAGTTGTGTTCGTACTTGGGCTGGTTTCCACCCAAAGTTCACCTTCCACATATCAGCAAGCTGCTGTTTCGCTGTATGACACTCCACTTCCAGGTTTACATATCGTGCTTCTGGTTCATGCAAGGAGGCTGTAAGCTCTTGGACGAGGCCACCTTGGTCACCCCCTAGACATGGGTATATTATGTGTAACTCTATCAGCAACGTGTTTGACATTATATAGCCTGTTGTGCTTGGTCGAGCCAATATGTCGCCGCGCACTTGGGAGCACCGCGATCCCAGCAGCATGTGAGAGGCCGGTGCTACCATATTGCACCTCCCATCGCAATAAAATACGGCTGGATTGGCGTTTTGTGCTACTTTGTCCTCGTAAAGTGGCCGCCCACCCTCATGTATGCGGTACCCATGATGCAGAGCCTACATACGGATTCTGGGATGCACCGGCGGCGGTCCCGTCGTTAGTCGTGGCCCCAGGCGCCCTACCTGGCCTCCACCATATTACCCTCTTTTGCTCGGTTGCCCTCACATTTGAGCGGTATCCC